TTCTTAGTTTAATTATATGTTTTTTTTTTCGAGTGGATTTGATTGGCACGCAGGAGCAACTGATTTACATTGAGCCAAGTATCAGGTGGGCGTCGATCTAAACGTGACTAGCCACGCGTAAAGTAACATGTAAATAAACGGACTACGTTTTTATTACGATCATGCAAGCTGCTATGTTACATAAACACGGATTCCAAATATAATATACTTACACATATGTATATGTATGTATGCCTTCTGCAAACTTCGTTTCTCTTTTACGTGAATCTATTCGTATGGATTTAAATTTTGAAACGTTCTAATATCATATACGCAGAGTTAATCTAAATTTTATCTTTATGTACACATGTACGTCTATCTATACGTATAAATTATTTGAATGTAAATTGAAATAAGAACTAAAATGCATAACCGTAAATGGTTGAATTACAAAACTTACAATAACAAAAATATCACCCCATCTATACTTTCATTTTGATGCAAACATAACTATATACATATATACATAGGTAGTATCCGTATAGCAAATGCCTCTCTATGGACATTAGATTATTTTAGAACAATAGCCGTAACGAACTTACCTTTCACGGCTCGAGTACAATCGAACCAGCTGCGTGGATACATAATTTGCACGTCCATAATCTTTTTATATGTATACATAGTAACACCTACATAAATCTTCCTTCTTTGTAATATCTATACGATGTTCTTATAAGTAATCTAACTACAGGATGTCCCACTTTATTTGTATTTTTTGCTAAATTTAACCATCATATTATATAAGTAAAAATGTAAGAGAGAAATGTTCAACAAACTATTGATATGCAACAATGAGACACTGTTATTTCATTTTTTATCCTGAAACATTAACTGCACTGTCTTTATTAGATTTACTGCTGAATGAATTGCAATCAGAATTGGTAGGAAATATTCCATTATTATTTCGTCAACATTTATGGATCCAATTGAATGCTTGTCCAATACATTATGTGGTACCAATACGAGAATGGATAAATGACGTTTACTCTCAACGATGAAAAGTCAATACAAATGAATACGCGTCAGGAATGAATGGACAGGATTTGTGGCGTATTTGTTGTAATTAAGGAAAATAAAGAAGAAATTGGTAATGCAATTCTATTCTACATTGATTCCAGTATTGTATTCATGGTAACGATCACCATTTTTAAATGAAATTATAATTTGTATCGACAATTTATTCCAATGTCGTATGATAAAATTTTGCTAAAAACAAATTGAGATATCATTTATGTATTATCATCGAATGATGCAAAGAAAAAAAAAAAAGTGTAATAAAATAATTAACGATTAATTCAATTAAAAAAATGAAATAAAAAGAAAAGGAAGAAAGGGCCACGACGAAGATGAATCAATGTCGACGAAATTCTAAGTCAATTTTAAGGCTTTCTCGGTACGGTAGAACCTAGGATAATCTTTTACCGAGAGATCACGATTCCACTTATTTCCGTACTTAATCACAGTCATCAAAAAATTATTATGAAAAATGACGACAACGTGAAACACTTTGTGTACGGCTACCTACCTGCTCTTCTTTCTCGGGTTTCGTTTGTATCGCGTGTAAGGTACGTTACATAGTTGTATACATATATATATGTATATGCATTTCTGTATATACATATACACAGATACATTTGTATGTATATTTACATAGTATATAATGCACGTGTATATTTTCATGAAATCATCGCGCGCCTCCGCAACCTCGAGCCTCAGTTTCTTGCGAAAATCTTGCAATTAACAGCACGCGTTCTCTTTTACCATCGTGCTTCTTCATCATTTTTCTTCTTTTTCTTATTTATTATTATTTATGTGTGTTACCTTCTTTTTCTTCTTTTACATCGTGGCGCGCGAAGTGTGTTCGAAGGAAAGGGCAACAACTTGGGAAAGAAAAGTCACTTGGTAAAAAAAGAATTGTAACGAAGTTTAAAAAAGATAAGGAGAGTGACTGAGTAACTGTGAGTGAGTATGTGAATGTGTAAGTGAGTGAGTGAGTGAGTGAGAGAGAGAGAGAGAGAGAGAGACAGAGATGTAAGACTTATGCTCACTTTCTAATAATTGCTTTTACGTAACGCTCATTACTCGTCCCTTTTATTACAACAAAAGTATATAAATACAAATCCAGAAACAACGCACGACGATCGAAGAAACACGTTCATTTTTATTATTTTATCGAGAGGAGGAGATATAAATACATAGATAATTCATTGATTTATTATTAAATTAAATATTGAAATTCGACAGATCGAAATATGTTCTTTTTATTCTTTTTCTTAATAATAAATCCTAAATGAGATATTAAGAATCATTATTATTATCATCATGAATCATTATCATTACCAGACAAAAAAAAAAGTAACAACGAATTTCTTTTTTATAATGATCTAATTATCGATCATTCGTAATCACTATCTCTTGACTAGATTTTACAAGCACGCATGAAATTCGATTTACTGTGATCGACAGGTGGGGTTTGGTAAAAGGGATAAATCATTCTCGGTCTAAGGATTTCATTTAAAATGTTCCATCCGAAAAGTGGTTCGGGACAAAAATTCGTAGAAACGAATTGTTTGTCAAATTAGTTGTGTTAATTTTTTGACCTCCTTTTTCGTTTCTTTTTTGGATGCTTTTAATCAAGCACACACGTGCATTCGTTTTGAATCATCATGATTGTTCTTATGAATTTTCTTCTTCCACTTCTTTTTTTTAAATCTTATCTTTCCCACACGAGACAGCATGCAACTGGTATTTTATAATAATGATACATACATAATTAATCCTTTATGTCGGAAGGATACTAATCGCCTTCTCTCGATAATATATAAATTATAATTTTAACAAATAACTATATACAGAAAAAGAAAGAAAATATAGGTAGGACAAAAAAAAAAGAAAGAAATCAATACAATTAGAGGACGAAAAAAAATAAGATACAAAAAAGAAAAAGATCATAATCAAGTCATTCATTTCTCGATCGTACGCAACGCTAACAGAAAAAGGGAAGAGAGCGAAAAAAATCGTTCGATTAACGAATCGAGGATTCTTCTTTCCAAATCTAATTTTTCTATCTCTTTTTATACATTTTCATTTTTTATTTATTATTATTATTATTATCATTACTATTATTTATATTATTATTATTATTATTATTAATATTATTATTAATGTTATTAATTTTATTATATTTTTTTGTCGTTTTAACTTTATGTTTTTTTTCTTCTTTTTTAAATCCTCGATCCCGAACAACAGAGACAAAACTCGACGATAGAACTTAATAAACAATTTCAATAAATAAACGCATTTTAATCGAGATCGCTAAGCAGGGAAAATGAATGAGAAACGATCGTGTTTTCCCAACTTGCGAGCTTACAAATTCTACATATATATATATATATTTATATACACACAAAAATCCGCTTACGAAAGAAAACTCAAATTAGAAAGGAATAGAAGTCCGCCGCTAATTTTTCTTTCTAATTATTTTTACGTGTGAGATATTCTTTCGTTCGTTCGTTCGTTCATTCGTTTGTTTGTTTGTTGGTTTGTTTGTTTTTTTTTTCTTTTTTTCTTTTTTATATTCTTTTTCATTTCCTTCAATAAAAGAATTCGCGTGTCGAGCGGCACGAACTTTTTACGCTGTTCGAATAAGAACCGCATCGAAAACGTGATTCGAAGGATACATATTTATCATCATGTATGTATAGATAGATAGATATATATATATATATATATATATCTATAATATATATATATATTTATACGTATACAAAACACGAGAGAGACGAAAAAGAAAATATACAAAATAAGAAAGGAAGTACTATATTACGAAATTATTCGATCGCTTTATAAAAATTCAGAGGGACGGAGAGAAAATAACGATGAAGGGGAGAGAGAAACGAGAACGGAAATGATCATTTCGATTGGAAGTAAGCGGAAGTCGACGTTGTCAATGTAGGAGTAATAGTAGCAACATTGATAGTAATAAAACTAATGGTAATAGTGGTAGTAGTAATAGTAATAGAGCAATAGTACAAGCAAAAGCTCGTTGTTAATCGAACGAGCGGATGTTCCAAATTTGTTAAACGAAAAACTAGACTATTGTTTTTCATTATTTATTATATTTCCATATCGAGAAAATCTAAATAATCGTTTTTACTTACCTACGTCTTTCTACGTCTATATAGAAAAATGGCACTAAGACGAACGAAAAGAGAAAAAAAGAGGTGGGGGGGGCAGGAGGGGGAAATATAAAGAAAAATGTATAATAATAAGTTCTTCGAGGTAAATCGTACGGTTTGTTTTTGTTTGTTTTTTTTTTGGAATAAATTTATATATATATATATATATATATATATATAATTAAAGAAGTCAGCCGTAAAGGCGATCAACGTGTTATACTCGAGAGTCCTGTCCACACAGGTGTTCGACATTGCTGCAATCGCTCGGTGAACGTAAATTACCGGTTTCCCTGATTTCCCCCTCCCCCCCTCCCCTCCCCCAGCCACCTTTCCACCTCCGCCACCACCTCTTTTCCCGTCCCTCTCTCGACGGAAATCTTAGCTCGATCTCTCGTGCTCCTTATTATCCGCGTTATGTTCTCTCAGGAAGTGTTAGTTCTCTTTCTCGTTTGAAATCGAAACACAAATAAAAGAAATAAAGTAATAATAACAGTATTAAAAAAAAAAAAAAGGAAAAAAAATCCGATCAGTCATTTTCAAATCACATTTGACAACATTTCGAATAAATACGCGTATTAATCGTGAGATATTTTCGAAATTGAATTTTGTACGAATTAAGTTCGTTTGCCAATGTGATATACGCGACTCGTACGATGCATAGAGTCATTTTTGAAATAATTGGAATATATAATTTAAAGAACGCGTTAACACAAAAATATACATTCCGATATTTTGTATGAGAAATTTTCTTGTTGTCGTTGTTGTTGTTTTTTTGTTTTTTTGTTTTTTTTTTCAAGATTCGTAATATCTAATTATTTGCTCGATTTCTATACAACGTACTTATAACGTAAGTTTATGTTAGAGTTTATCGGACGATCGTATTATGAACACGTAAGAAAACGATAGAATCGTTGAAAGTTTCGTGAAACGAGAAACGCAATGCAACCGAGAGAGACTTTCTCTCTCGGTTCCCTCGAAATACAAAAAAAAAAGAAAGAGACACCGAGAGAGAAGAGAGTCTTTTTTCTTTTTATTTTTTTTTTGTTAATACTTCATAGTCATCCCCTTTTTATTTCGTTCTAATAATTAATAATCGCGCGGAATAAATCACTTAGCGTAATGTTTCTTTCTCGTGGACGTTCTAACGCATGGGGCGGCATCGTTGTTGCTTTTATTGGACGTCGTTGAGGTATTGTTATCCTTCCACGTGTTTCTCAAAGAATTTGTTATCAACGGTTCGTTTAATTTGCCCGAATTTTTCGTCAACGTCGAATATTTGTTGGTGGTAACGATCGTTGGCGATTGATTGCCCTGACCGGTGTCACGAACGTCACCTTCGAAAAATCGACACATTTCACGTACCGGCACGGACCTAGCGCCACGATTTAAATCGTGAAGCGATCTCGCCCGTTGTTTTCCCCTAGGACTTGGTTTAGATTCGGTTCTACCAAGATCCTCTGTACTTCGAGCCAACCGACCACCCAATCTCGAGAGAGATTCGAACAAAGTAAGTTTTTCACGAACTGGTACATAATGATCGACCCTCTGACACCTCTCCAACAATCTGGCAACGTCCTCCTCGCAAGGTGGTTCCTTTAATATCGACAAAGCCATTGTCGTAGCAGATCTAGGCAAACTCATGCAACCATCAATCAACGATGCACTACTCGTAACTGATCTAATCGTTCTTTCATTTCCTAAAGACAACTGACGTGGTACAGGTATTCTCGAGGATATAGCAGCCAATCGTTCCTTTCGTTCTTGCAAACTCTCAACGTTGTTACTACTATTCGTCGTTACTTCTTGTGCTTGCTGAGATTGACCCTTCTCTCGAAAAATTCGCCTCTCTCTAGTTCGACTCCTTCGTTCGTTATTCGCATCTGTCCTTAAGATACCATTGGTAATTGTGCCGTTACTGCACCGCGTTGGATCGTTTCCTGCAATACCATTACTATTATTATTGTTGTTATTATTATTATTATTATTATTATTATTAGTATTATTATTATTATTATTATTATTATTGTCGTTATTTTTATTACCGTCGACGGTTCTATCGGTCTCTTCGAATCTAACAGTAAATGGTTCAACCGGTTTGATAGGCGGTAATCTATCGTTCTCATTTCGAATTATTTCGGCCGACTCGGTTGTAACATTATTCGACGATTCTTTTTTCGGTGATCGTCGAGTAAGATGATGATGATGATCGTCGTTTTCGTTGACGGAATAATATTTGCTTCTAGGCCCGTAGATTTTAGGAAGTTCGTTGTTATTGTTTTTATTGTTGTTGTTGTTATTATTTTCTTCGGCTCTTGCTTTACGTCTCCTAGCATCTTCTTCTAAAACACGACGACTTCTTGCTTCGTTTTCCCGTCTACGGGTTTCCTTGTACCTTTGTATCCTTTGTTCTTTGGTCTCGGGTTCCGACAAGGAAACCGTAGAATCGACGGAATCTACGCTAGATCGACATATTCCGACACCCCATGGAAGACTATCGTCACTACCCTCGCTACTTTCGCTACAACCCCACGTTCTCGAGACCGTTTGATCCTTCGTTGATATTATTGCTGGTATACTACGAAATTCACCTAAATTGTCCTCGTCGCTTGAATTACTGCTCGACCAACCACGTAACTCGCTTCTCGCTCTTCTTCTAGATTCTTCTAATATACTCGTCGAATTTTTCGAATTTCCGTCATCCATCGACGATTCGATTGGCCAACAACGAAACTCACTTCGTGAACGTCTCCTAGATTCTGCCAGACTCTCCGGAAACGGTGCCGGACTTCTCGGACAGATTGTCAGGATCTCTAAAAAGTTTAGACATCTTCGAGCACGAAACGGAGTCTGCCTTACCAGTTCTGTTGCTATCGCTTTCACCCAAGACCAGTATATCGGTTCTGTGTCGGCCTGGGGAAAACAAAAAAGAAGAAAAAGAAATGAGATAAATTATTATTATTATTAATATTAATATTATTACTATTATAACATATATATGTATTCAAAGATACAGCGATTTCTTTTTTGATTTTTTCCAACAGATAATTTTATAAATATTTACGTGTACCCATTTTTATTATTTATTTGAATAAATATTCTAACTTCTGAGATGTTTTTTTCTATCTTTGACTGACTTTTTAATTAAGATAAAAAAAAACAAAAGAAATAATTAAGCACGCTAAATGTTGATAAGGAATTATCGTCGATAGGTAGCAAGAAATGAAAAGATACGAGAAGAGAGTTGTGACCAGATAAGAGGAGAGTATTCGTGCAAAACGAAGGAAGAATCACGACACACGATTTCGCCGCTCGACGATTCGAAAGTCGTCGGCTTGGTTGGTAGGTTGGTTGGTTGGTTGGTTAGTTGCTAACACACAAACGACATCCTAGAATTTACTTGGGAATTTAAACTTCTCCGACTTCCTAGACGAAAGATATAACTTAACATTAGTTAAATTACCTTTGCCTTCACGTAAAGAGAAAGAAAGAAAGAAAGAAAAAAAGAGGTAAAAAGATATAAAGAAAAAGAAAAAGAAAAATATTCAAAGACAAATGATAAAGAACGGATGTGACATTTCAACCTTGCGAACGAACGAACGACCTCCGATTATTAAACTTCTCGTTTTCTTGGCTTGACCTACCGGAAATGATGCGTCAAGAAAAGAATGATACTCTTCGAATATAACGATATGATCGTTATCTCGTAAAAGAAGATCTACCATTTTGTTTAGTTGTTACCTTCACAGGCTATTAACAGGATAACGTTGTAAAGGAAAAAAAAAAAAAGAAGAAAAATTACATTCGCAAAGGATACGAGAAAATCTCGTTTGAAGTTGGTGCCAGTCATCGTTGTCGGCTAACATAAGATCGTCTATCAGTCTGTCTGTCTGTCTGTTTACGTCCTTGGATCGAGTAAAGGAAAACGAAGTAAGAAGTAAGGATCTCCTTAGGCGGTGAACGAAGATGGTGGGACTCCTTGACAATGGTGGGTCATGGGAGAGTGGCGAGTTTTACTCCCACGCGTCCGTTTACCACTATCCAGATCAGCTACAAACCGATTTCGACCTTGCCTACTGACCTTATTTAAATCCTTTCAATATTCGCATGCTTCAACTTACGTCACGTGATTCCTAATAATCCCTACACCTACTCTTTAAATTTATCCTCGTTTTTAATTCTTTTTTCTTCTCTTTTCTGTCCTTCTACTATCTTGTCATCAGTCAATCTTATCGATGTTGATCTTTTAAACGAGAATATAATTATTATTTATTAAAAACACACATATTGAAACATTATTTAACGCTAGAAATCTTCGATTTTATAATATATTTCACGATAAATAAATAAAATGTTGCTACGTCGTTCGAATTATCACGATGAGTTTACACATTGTCTACACTTTAAAAGTTAACACTGGATGATATCGAAGAAAAGATTTGTTTTTTTTTTTATACGAGACTGCATTTAAAAACAATTAATCTTTAATAATCAAAAGAGAGAGATAGGAAGAAGATTATACGTCGAAAGTTTCTGATCCACTGAGACAACATCGACGTTTTCTGCTATGCAAAAATAAATACTCACTCTCGAGGGAAGAGAAAGTCAAGTAGGAGGAATCAGAAATTTGGAAGTAGTGTTAAATTGATAGGAGGAACTAAACGTTTGTAGCGTACAAGCCTTTTTCAAGGAACGTTGTATAATGAGTTAGAAATCGAATGGGCGACGTTGCCAGGCCATAATTAGAAGTTGCAGCGTTCAGTGAAACGGGAACCTAGAGTCCGTCGGCCACGAGAAAGTGTTTACAGTCGAGGAAACGGATCGTGCCGGAGATAAAGGCCGTTTACATCGTACTGTGCACTGAATTATCTCTCTCCTTCCCTCTCGATCTTTCCCCTATTTCTTTCTCCTTCTCAATACAATCTTGTAAAACTATTTTCAATTTCAAAGTTCAAGTCAACTTCCGAAACCTTAGAATAGGATTAACTGTTCTTTTCGAGTACGTTTTCATTTGTGTGTGGTGTGTGTACGTATGTATGAATGAATATATTTTTTGTTTTGTTTTTTTTTTTACCCAAAACGTAGCAAGCGAATGACCCTGAGAATCGCTCAGAGTAAATCCAAGGGCGAGGGCATGAGGCTGGCATAGACTGGGTGCCGCTTGACGAAGGTTCAATGCCCTTAGAGCCAACTTCATTGAAGTACCCTCGACCCACAACCATCCCATCCTGATCATGACGGTCCTCCTCTCGGCCAGGTTTTCGACGTAGAGCTCCCCTGTAACACGAAATTAGGGGACTAATGAGATTCGATCGGATGCGGCCAAAGTAGATTAACATTAAATCCCTACGGATTTATTTTTATCCGACCTAGTTGGGTCAGATATCGGAGTAAGTGAGAGAGAACGTCAAAGCAGTTACTTCGGTAAAAAGAAAGAAAGAAAGAAATAAAGAAATAAAGGGAGGGGAAAATAAAAAATAAATACGAACATTATTATCTCGAATGAAGTCATCCTCATTTAAATAGAGGAGGATGATATCTAATTCATTCTTTTAATAATCTCACATGTTAAGTACTTATAAATATAAATTCTAATTAAAACGAGACATCTTCTCTGTAATAAAGTACATATAATGTTTTATCCTATCGTATTTACTCTCCCTCTCTCCTTACCTTCCTCTCTCGCCAACAGTGGTCCAGCAGAGCACGGAAGGATATTTTAAACGATGCGTTTGTATGATTTGTTACGAGCGGAAACAAGCGAGTGCTCCAGAACGGACGCTGATTCACTCCGATGCACGAGTTTTCTTCTTCTTCTTCTTCTTTTACCTCTTTCTCTCCCTATTTCTTTTTTTCTCTGTTACTCTCTCGCTTCGTCGAGCAAGAGAGGAGACGATGAGAGAGAAACCATATATATATATATTGTATATATATGTATAAGGTCAACGAATCGAGAGATTGACGTCATTCTATCAAAAGGCGTGGGAGTTAATGTACAAAAGGCAACGAAGCGAATGAGATACATGTTGTTATAATAATATTATTTCCCTTTCGTTCATCTCACTTTGTAGATGCATATTTATGCATATAGATACATATACATATATTAAATATGTATGCATATATATTCGTACAAGGTTTCTGTGGTTTCTTCCGGCGAAACCATGCCAGGCGTGTGTATTCTCTATGAACAAAAATAATAAGAAGAAACAAATATTTTATAAAACATAAATCATTTAAAGTGTCCATTCTCCAAAAATTATGATCTAAATTATAAATCACACACCTAATTTATCGTTCAAAGTGCCGACGACCACCTACGCAATGTTGTTGGACGAAACGAACATGTTTCGCGTAATTGTAAATGTATACGTTGAAAAAAAAACTCTGCTAGAAAATTTGCTAATTTCGGTAATTTTGATTGGGATTTACTAAAACGATTCGATATAATAAACCTTGTAGATAAGCGTAAAAAAAGAGGTGAACGTAATCGATTGAAATTTAAACATAAAATATCATCGTTATCGAATAAATGTCAACGTTTATGCAATTGAAATCATAATTTTGTAATGATCTATATTCGTACAAACTTTTATTTCTTATTTTTATGGATATTAACACCGTTTCGTTGGAAAACCCTCTCAAAAACTCCTATATATGTATACGTGTATGTATAAATGTACGTTTAATGATCTATTAAAAGGAACACATATTCGAGAACGATCATTAAAATTCTATTTCTCTTCGGTGGATTCCTATTTTCGTGTCGTTTTTAAGGTAAAGATAGTACGACAACTCGAATATCCTGCGCTTTTATATAGACGAACAAGATGGTCGTTCTCATCTTTTTATAGCGTTCCACGCGAAGAGAGAAGAAGTCCTTAAGCCTCGACAATTTCCTCGTTTGATAAAGTAACCGATCTAATCTCTCCCGCTGAGATACGCTATTCCGGTTAAATTATACCAGAAGAGAGAAGAACCAGTTAGATTAGGGCCGCCCGAACATCCTTTCTATAACAAGGCACATATATATTTTTCCGATATATATATATACTTTTCAAAAAAATATCAGAGATTGCAATGCTGCAAATTGTACAACTTTGCTAATTCTTTGAAAAGTTTTGGTAAATATTTTTTATACTAAAAGTGAATAGATTTTAATGAAACTTATATTAAATTAAAGTACATTCTTTTGTCTAAGCGTAGAACATCATATCGAGTTATAAATTTAGCATGTAAAGTTCAGAAAATGTCAGAGAATGCAATGCTGTAAATTGTGCATCTTTGTAATTTCTTTGAAAAGTTTTGGTAAATATTTTTTATACTAAAAGTGAATAGATTTGAATGAAACTTATATTAAATTAAAGTACACTCTTTTGTCTACGCGTAGAACATCATATCGAGTTATAAATTTAGCATGTAAAGTTCATAAAATGTCAGAGAATGCAATACTGTAAAAATTTCCGGGCTTGACGGTAACATATATATTCTTTTTATTTATCTTTATCATTTTCTCATACATTTTTTGTTTTTATTTGATTTTTTCATTCTATAATGAAAAGAATGAATGAACATATCGATAAATGTGTTTGTCTAGTTTATATCGTTATATGAAAGAAATCGAAACTATTGACTAGACGTTTTGATAAATTTTGATATCGAAGATAAAAGTTTTTCAATCGTCGAAAGAGAAAAAGATAATAAAGAAAAATAGATAAATGAAAAAAGATGGACTATATTTCATCTAAAAACCGAGACGAGTTACGACGTCTACGAGTATTGAACTGATCGAACGAGATTAAAACCGAGACCTACTTCGACGTCTCACTTTTACCTCGATCACATTAGGGGATCGATTTTCATTTTCTTCGATTATCTTTTATAGTTACAATTTATGGACATATATTTCTCGTTAAGATTAACTCGGACTTGATTGTAAGAGTAATTGCAATGTTTCAACTTTTTTCCTTCAAAAATATATATGTGTGTGATTATCGTGAAAGATCGAAATTGGAGAATGTCTAACTAGATTCACATACTCGTTTGGTGTAATGTAGTATATGTCCGAAATATTTGCTAAATATCTTCATTTCTGATTTACATCGACAAACGTCGATGTTCAACCATCCACTGATAGCGAGTGTCGAATACAAGTATTTTTTTGTTACGCTATTAAATCATAATTTATTATTTAAAACATATTATGTCAAAATAAGAGAAAGCTTAAGTAACAACACATGTAAATAAACTATTGAACTTAAAACTAATAGTACATTTTAAATCTTACAGATTCTTGACGACACACATTGGTCATGGTCCAAACTTATAAGAATAAACTTAAATATTTGGTCTTTCACATCAACTAGTTTGATATGTGTTGACAAGCGACCGTGTGAATCTTCACATTCTCCAATTTCATTCTTTCATCTCGTGTAACATATATTACATTATACAGTTAATTTTAATTCTATCAATAAGTATATAAAATTATTTCTCACCCCCTCCCCTCTCCCAACGAACAACAGTCTTTTAACAAGGTTGACCAAAATGTTTGTCAAGGATTTTTATCCCGTTTGAACGCGATCGTTGAAATTCTTTGAATATTTCTCGACGATAAGAAACCTGCTAGATAGAAAACGCATAAGAGAGTAACGTAAAGGTCCTTCACCTGCATTATTCAGTCACGTACGCATTCACAAGGTGAAGAGATCGTATGAATTATGTTCCAACGACCTACAATACTGATTTAACTTTTGTCATTTGAAAAATCTTTATTAATTTGATTTTTATATCGATCTCATATATATTATGATTAAAATATTAAATCCCTTAATATATCTAACGGATCGTTTTTATAAAAAGAATTCAATAATTTCGATCAGAGATGAATCAAAATAATTATTAGTAACAGGAATCTCCAAAGATTTTCGAAAACAAATCAAGAAACCTAAACGAATAATTATTAATAAAAGTTAGCAATGATTGAGCGACATCTGACAAGCCTAACAGTTATATGAACGTTATGGTAGGACGGTATTATCAGTGCGGTCAAGGAAGCTACTCTTTCCTTTTCCTCCTCCTCCTCCTACTTCACCTCTTTTTTTTTATTCATTTTTTTTCTCTTGCATTTATACAGTTATCTTTGAAAGCGTCGATTACGGCGAAGCCATGAATTTTTTATATTTCTTATCTATCGAGAGTTAACTTTAGCGCATATATATATATATAGTCGAGTATTTTATTCTATTTATTTTTCTTCTTATTTTTAACTTTTACTACTTGACTGTTGACACAGGAAAACGGCGTTGAAATTTTTTTCAAATAAATCTTTTTATTATTTCTTTTCTCATATTTTTTGTTTTGTTTTTCTTTAAATAAACGGATAAACAAATGAATGGTCAAACGGAGAGCATGAGAAACGACGAGATAGTAGGAACTTGTAAAACGAAGAGTGTATTCATCATCATCATTATCATCATCATCATTAAAAAGTGGCGCGAAGAATAATTATAGATGACTATTAGTGTATATTCAAGATTGTATTATAGTTCGCGACGTTATTAGTGGCCAGCACCAACGACTTAATAGTATCGGTTCTCTAACAATAATTATACTCGTGCAATGTGGAACGACAACACCGTTTTAATTTCCGGATTCGTTTCGCGGAAACAACTGATTGTATGTTTAAGTATGTATGAATATATCCATGTGCATCTGCATGTATGTATGTTTGTGTGTGTGTGTGTGTGGTGTGTAGGCACTTAATTTTTATTTCTTCGTTTCTTTCTTTATTTCCTTCTTTTGGTTTTAAAGCAAATGAGAATGCAACTTGCGAAATGTACGGGTGTGACCACCATAGCTGATTGTAAAGATTCTTGCATCTAACTTCCAGTTATTAACCACCGATGGTTGTCTCTCTTTCTCTTTCTAATATTGTGGGGAACATACATACATCCGACACCGTTTCAATTATAAAAAAAAAAAAGTTAATTACAAAAACGAATATAAGCTTTCATTACATTTTTCGAAGTCAATGAAAAATTCAATGAATCCAATGTTAAAAGTCATTTTTAAGCCACTTTACGTTCCTTAACGATTATCAACTGTTAAATCGCTAATCAACGTTTTTTATTTTATTGGTCTGACTCATTAGGTTCAAGGTCGGTTTTGTTCTCTTTCATAGTAATAAGAGTTAATCCTAACGCGAGGATCTCTTTCCGTGAATTAGAGGTGGATTATGAACGTGAATCATTCTTCAAGTTTAATATTACTTCTAT